AGTAATACAACCAGAACCACAAACCGAATAAATGAAATAGTAGACAAAATTCACCAAGATGAAAGGGCAGAAGGAATAACCAAGAGTGATATTAAAAAGGTAATCAACGTCTTATTAGAAGTCATTGATGAAACTTTAATAGGAGGCGAAGAAATTGATTTTACTGGACATTTTCGCCTATACGCAACCAAAACGGAAGCCAAAGAAAAGATAATGGGATTTGGAGCCAAAAAAGGCAAGAATATTACAATTCCCGCTCGCCTAGTTCCCCGTGCCAAATTTAGTTCCGTTCTTAAAAAAAGAATGGTTGAGGAATAATAATGGATGATGGATATATCCCAAAAGATTCATTTAATTCAAAGCCAGGTCAAGGGATTAACCAGAAGTGGGGAAAACAAATATCAAAAATATTTTTACTTCAATGAATTGCAAGTGATGAATTCCTTGAAACCTTTGCTTAACGAACATAAATTAGTTCTTCTGCTTAGTGATGATGAAAGTGTTGGTCTTGAATTACAAAAGGATGGTAGTCAGTATTTGGTTAAATACCTAAAAAAATTACAAGTAATCAATATCAAAGAAGAAGGGGATATTACTATGAAAGATGTAGTTAATAAAGAATTTGATGATAAAAAAGGGGTTATTCAATACCAATTGCAAGATGAAATAATGGAATTTAAGTTTTGAGCAATTGGCCAAAATGCCGACCCTGCCAAAGCTAAAGGAGCCGCTGAAACTTATGCGGTTAAATATATTCTATCCAAATTATTCTTAATTCCAGTCAAAGATGAAACTGATCCCGATACTGGTATTAGTCAGGCCAGAATTACTCAGGAAACAAAAAATAAAGCAGAAGAATTTCTAAAAAAGGCTGGATGAGATAATTCTAAACAAGTAATCAGTCACGAGCAGCAGCAAACACTTTATGATTTATTTGTTAAAGTTAGAGGAGAAAGTTTAGACACTCAAAAAATCTTACTGACCGAGTTCGACAAAATAATAACCAAAAATGGTAAAGTTGGCGGGACAGCTCCTGGTAATTTTAAGGTCAGGATTGCTCTTTTGAGCAAAGAAGAATATAAAGACTATTGAAATTATTTAGAAAATTACAACCGATAAATGTTTGAAGAAATTATTAATAAAAAAAACACTGAACTAGCCAAATATCAGGCTATGTCAGGTTGATGGGAAACTGACAAAGATATTAGAGATAGTGATTTTTTTTGATTTTTAAACGAGAGAGAATTATTATCTAATTCCAACTGAAAATTGAGATTGTGAAAGATTTATAAACCTTTGTTAGGATTAGAAGAAGCCAAAAAAAGAGTAGAGGAAGGCAATATTTTTGTAGATAAAAACACCGGACAAGAAATTTCTTGAGAAGAAATAGAAGCAGAATTAGAAAGTCCAGAGTTAATAAAAAAAAGAAAAGAAACCAAAGAGAAAATAAAAGATAATGAAATAGAGTATTGGAAGTCAGTAGCCGAAAATGCTTGAAAATTAAGTGCCGAAGCCCAAACTATCTTTCAAGAGGAAAGGAACAAAGTTGAAAAAATAAAGGATATAGTTTGCAGAGAGTGTGAAGATAAAATAAAAAAGATTGAAGGATATGAATCCTTTGAGTAAACTTAAAAAATTAATTAATATGGATACAACAAAAATAATGCCTGGACCCCAAGAAGGAACTTATGAATATTCTAAATCTGTACTTTTCCATGACATAAAAGACCCCGAAATAAGAGCCAAATTATTTTTAAGAGAAAGAGGAATTGGCAAATGCGTCTTTTGCGGAGAACAGCCGCACATACCAACTGAGTTATTGTTAGAATTTAAGCCTATTGTTTGTTTCCATTGCACAGAAATAGTTATGAACCTTTACAATTGAAACCCTAATGTGCGAATGTTCCAAAAGTGAGATTAATTAAAAAGATCGGTACATAAAGAAGCGGATGCTTTAAAGCAAAATATGAAAAACAACGAATATAAGGACAGTAAAAAAACTTGCCGTTTTTGTGGAACTAATGAATATAGCGACAAGTATTTTGACCACCTGAACAAAATTCACAAAGATGTAATAAATAATCGTAAATATCTGAAAAACATTAGCAAACATTTATCGGCTGAGGATCTACAACAAGTAAGAGAATTCATAATAAGACTAAAAAATAGTTAAATTTGCTAAAATAATAAATGTATGACCAAAAGTAACAAAGTTACAATTAAATACAACGGCAAAGATTATGAAATAGAAAAGAAAACTGATGAACAAAAAGCCAAACCTAAAGGTGATGACAATGGAACTGAAATAACAATCAAAAATTATAAAGAAAGTTCCTGAAATCACACCGCAGAAATAAATGGTGAAACTATCTCAGTAAAATGAGGAATGGCCAAGAAAATTACTTATATTGGCGGTCCCATTTTATTAGTGCTGGCATTCTTAATTATCTGATGATTTGCCTCTCGCAAGACGGGAGAAGAAGAAAAAGAAGATGAATAAATCCTAGACTAGTCTAGGATATTGAATTGCCGGACCAAATAATTTTCTATCTTTCGACATTTAGAATGTACTCATATATTTTGGTCTGGCACTTGAATATGCCCGGAGGAAACTTTATAAGAATGCAAGGAGCAGTAAAAGAAAGAATAAACAAAACTACTTTTAAAGTTGAATTGGATAATGGCAAGGTTATTTTTGCTTACAAGGCTTCTAAGTTCAGAGTTCTGAAAGGTAATGGCAAAGGCACTCGCAACCCCTCTATTATGGTAGGAGATAAAGTAAAAATAGACATTCCAGAAAAAGATTTAACCAAGGGAATGGTGGTGGGGTTTGTTTAAAATAATTTATATGTTAAAATTGCAAATAACTTACGAAACAGGAAAGCCCCGACAAATTACTAATGATTTGAATTATAACCAATTTAGAGCGTTAGTAGAGCATGCAGAAAAAGGGAGACTGGGCAAGTTTAAAGAAATAAAAATAACTAGCGTTGAATAAAATGCGGAGATAAAAAGGTGGATGGGTTTATCTCAAAACGTCAACTCTTCGCCTGTCCACCAAAATAACAATGGGGATGCAAGTTTAGACTTATTCAGAAGATAATTATAGCAATATGCTTTCTTGAAAGCAACAAAAAAAATCAAGAAGATACATTTGAAGTTCCTGTGGAATTGCTTTCGGGCAACCCAGGATACAACTACGCAACAGTTTAGTCTAAAAAATCTCTAAATTAAAACTTTAGGAGAATCCAACGTCAACTAAACTGTTCTAGTTCTTATTACTTACTCCATTTAGGTAATTCGTAATAAAATTGGAAAATAGTCAGATAGTGTTTGTTTATTTCTTGTTTGGCTGTTTATAGGAAATGAAGAGAAAAATAAACTAGTGATTAGTAGGGG